ATTTCCAAATCACTTCTACAACAAATCTCGATGCAAACTGCTGTTCACAGCAGGAAAAACAGCAAAACAGTGGGAAAAACAGGGAAAAGCTGAGAGAAAATTGGAAGAACAGCTTGTATTTTACTAGTAGAAGAAGAAAACAACAAAGATACAATTGATCCTCAATTCGAGAGGAGGATCGATCTCTCCCAAATCTCTAGACGCCGCTAGAGCCCAAAGAAAACCGAATTCTAAGAGATCTCAAATTTCAACCAAATTCAAGATGCCCAAACCCTAGGAAAAACATCTATTTAATGCATACAAATCAAAAGAAATTCCCTAAACAATCCCTACATTCAAATTTCTCTTTGAAACCCCCCAAAAATCCTTCCTAAAACGCTCTGTTTGAGCGGTCGGGCCGCTCGTTCTCCGCCAGGAGGCGGAATCTCCGCCTGTTTTGCGATTTCTCCCGTGAACCGGTCCCGCCTGGACCGGCTGGACCGGTCTAACATAATTCAAGTGTTTGAAATCAATTACTCTTGAAGTTATTTCATTAATGAGATATGTGGCGGTTATGGCAGCTTCTTCCAAATATTTTTTGGAAACTTAAATTTTATAAGAGAAGAGTTTTAGTAACTTCTGAAATATACTTTTTTTTCGCCTCATTTTATTGTGGAATGTTAGAGCAAGATAATTGATGAATAATACATTATTTATTGAGAAAAGCATGCATACAACAACAACACCAATAACATCAAGCCTTTATCCCACTATGTGTGGTCGGCTACATGAATCCTTTTTCTCCATTGTGCCATGTTAAAAGTTAAATTATAATTGAAATCTAATAAAGAAAGATCATTTCAAATATTTTTTAACCAAATCTTTTTATGTCTAAAAATGGGGTGGTGGCACAGTTGGCTAGCGCGTAGGTCTCATAGCTACCATGTTTGAGTTATCCTGAGGTCGAGAGTTCGAGCCTCTCTCACCCCAGTTTTTATATTTAACACTATCGTTGCCAGGTCCCAAGTCCTGGATGAGAAAAGTGGAGGGTTGCATTAGGTAGTCGACAGCCATCATAAAACTTGTCGAATAATAATGACATGAATCCTTTAAGAAATTGTGTTGTTGGTTAAAATATTCTTAAGCATTATTATTCTTGATCTTTTTGACATTGATACCAAATTAGTTCCATCGTCCCGGGCCATCGTGGTCATTGGTCTACTTAGTCAGAGGAGATAGTTGACCCAACCTGACAGAAGGATCCTTGTTGACAACCATGAGACATCTATATTTCATGAAAACAAAACAACCCCCTAATTTATAGTTCAGCCTAAATTATTTGTTCAAAATCTTCATATGCGAGTAATGAGCTCCCCGACTGATATATGCTAGGCAAGCTTGGCAAAGATTGGGAAACATGTCACCAGACGTAGCTATGGAACATTACATCAGTCTTCTTTCCAACTATATTCCCGGATGGATGGACTTAAAATCTGGAGTGAGTCTAATGACTAAAATGCAAAACTTTATTTTCCATTCAATTTATTTGTAGAATATGATGTAAAATAAAGTAACGTGATCTGCTTTCTGGTAATTTCATCAGGAGGATGCCAAATGTGGCAAAGACAATGATTCTCCAGTGGTAGGGATATCAGATTCAGGTATTTCTGATTTAAGATCGTCATCACAGCGTCAACTGAGCTCTGAAACTCAAAGGTAACTTTTCTGAACCTTCTTTTTGTATTATGTTTGGTTGATGAATGCGGAAGCATGATTTGATTGAACTCTTGAGTACCATCAATCAACTCTTGTATCCATTTAATGATAGTTTCTGTTTTTTGCAGGAAATCAGGAGACCATGCTTCTTTTGAAATTGATCATGCATCAGAAGGGTCGAAAATACTAGAGCAAGGTTTGCCTATGATAATACATTTATTTTGTTCTTTTTACAGCCATCTACTTCTCTTGTGATGTTAACTCCATTGATTGCCATATCTTGTTTTAGAGTTTAGCATTCTTATAAATGATAGGGAAAGAACTGGAATCAGAATTGAAAATTTCGAAATATAATAGATTTTTTTTTAAATGTCATAGATATTACTAGTAAATGGATTACGAGAGAAGAGATGAAATACCATGATAGGGAGGAGAATTTACTGTTATAGTTCTGCTGTTGGAATTTCTTAAAACTGAAGCTTTTTTTGGACTATTAGCATTGTTCTTCTGGTTGTTTTTTGATTTGTGGTTATTGATCTTTGCTTTTAACATTTGTTAAGGATGCCATTGGCTTTTCAAACAGAAGCATCAATAATTGAATTATTTTCTTGAATAAGCTGCATTCATGCCCATAACATTTTGGCTTGTTAACCATTTAATTATCTAAAATCACCAAATGCACCCTTCATTAAAACTCGTTGAAAATGTGAAATGCCCTTACATTTTCATTAACTGCTGTTGATATGAGCGATTAAATAACTTAAATAAATAAATTTCTAAATTTTATATTATCAATTATCATATTGTAATAAACTATTTATTGTACTTTCACTGTTTAATGAAGCGGAAGCAGGAAGAAGAAAAGATAACAATCGAACCCATAATTGTGAACTAGCTTCTTTAACTGTGCGTTTTAGCACCTTGATGTTAGGAGAGATTTTGAGGTGAAGTTAGCTCAAAAAATTTCTTGGCCATTTGTTTATTATTATGCTTAATCTTATTTTGTGTTAATATTATTATGTTAATACAAGCATGCAACACTAATAATGCATGAGATGAGGTCATCAAAACTTTTTGTGCTTTTGCATTTTGTGATTGGGAGCATTGAGACTTCTACTTGGAAGCAAGGGTTACCCATAATGTGATGAAATTATTCTGTGCAGACGCCAAACGTCGTCCAGAGACCAATCAAAATGCGGCACGTCGCCCCCTACTCTGTACCACGGCTCGCTACTGCTGACGTGACGCATTCTAATTGGTCTCCGGTCTGTAACTGCATTCGGCGTCCACATAAAATAATTTCTCCATAATGTGAAGGTAAATCGGGCCGACTTGCGTGCCCTCCCACCTTCTCGCACATATAACAAGCCTTAATGGGTAAAATAACGTGTCTAGCGCTTCTTTTTACTCTCTAAATTTGACTAATGTTGTTTTCTTACCTGCATGCCATACAGAGTATTTTACTTAATATATATAGAAATTTCTGTTCAAACATATTTATTGTGACTTCAATATCTGAAGGAATATATGTTTGTTTTGTTGGGCTAAGCATTGATGGGTTTTGTCATATTTTACTAAGCCATAAGATAAATAGAAAATATTCTGTTTTTACTAATGTGGATCTTCATACACTATTAGGTACTTTGGACGCAGGGTTTACAAGTACTTTCATCCTCAACCTGCTATCTCCAACCAGAGGGGCTTTCTTGAGCATCTACTGGTAATCTGGCAGACCCTGATGAATTAAATAAATAACATAATTGCTTGGCTGCTCGGCTTTGAAGTTGCAATTTCCTTATGATCATATGGTCTACTATTGTGCATGTATTATACTGTATATAACTTTATTGTGAAATGCAATCTGCATATTTGTACCTAAAACCAAATGATTGCTCTACTCCTGCTTTGATTGCAACATCATGAGTGTGATATCAAATGATTTCAGCATTATTAGTCTTTGGCCTTAAAAGCAAACATAAAATTTAGGCTTTTGTTTGGCACAATTTTATAATTGCTTTCTAAAGTAGTTTATAGTACAAAATTTTAGTTTAGAAAGGAGTGATAAAGCGTGCTAGCCAAACAGGTGGCATGGTATGGAAATCATAGTAGACTAAATTAATTGATTCAATTTTAATCTATAAAATTACATTTAAGTTAATTGAATTGTTTGATTATGTTTATGATTTATTAAAAAAAATCATTTGAATCAAATTGAGTATATTATACTTATGCTTTTTTAGACATTTTAGTAGAAATGAAGGTTGGTTTGAAATTTATTGGTTTGTTATCCCTTTTCTATCATTAATGTATGTAAATTTTAACTTAACTCAATAAAAAATAATAAAAAACTGATTTAAATTCAACAAAAATCAGTTCATCACACATTTTTTGGTTTCCTTTGAGACAGTTTTATATCACTATTTTTTCAATATTTTAAAGAAATTTTTATATTAAAAATGCTTGAGAAGTAATAAAAAAATTATCAAAAATAAAACTTTATTGCTAACTTTAATTTGAAAGACTCATATTTCAGTCTGAGCAAAATTAAATTGATTGATTTAAAACCACTCAAAATATTATTGATTTTTAATTGAAAGACTCGTCATAATCAGAAAAGTAATATTTAAGATAAAATATTGATTTTTCATTTACAACCTTATTTTGTAGCTAATATAATGTAAAAAGTTAGTTCTAAAAACTTTGCTTGCCTAATTATCATATTTCATTTTTAAAAGTTCCGAAAATTAAATCAGTATAAAAGACATAAATCCATAAAAACAATAAATAAATAAATAATAATCAATTCCAAAATTTTATATTAAAAAAAATCATCTCAAACGCATCAAAATAGGCTTCAAATCAATGCGATTTTATACAAAATTAATATTATACGTGATATTATAATAATTTTGTTTTATAATAAGATTTATGTTTATAAGCATAATGACTTGTATCCCAGCTAATATAAATCTTATAATAAAACAAATAATGAATATTATATACCCAACATGAGTTTCAACTCAAGGACATTCACTCACTCTCTATATAGAGAGGGATTATTACATATGGATACCGGCCCGGAGCTCCGCCCGGACTATGTAATCATGCACAATAAAAATGCACTGTGCACGGTACTCACGGTGAGTGGATCTTAACAGTTCTCCCATCCGAATTCCGCACATAATAATCTCTCCCTATATTTCTTCCTAGGACATTAATTAAACTCTATAACTTAATAATTTCCATCTTCTTGCTCGGCAAGCTGTCGATAGTTACAAATGTTAGCCAAATCCATGAGAACAACGTAAGTATTATTGATTTCCACTTTTTGAGTATTTCAGTAGCACCATGGTGTTGTCAAGTGTAACCATTAAAGCCTGCAGATCTTTCAAATGGTTTAGAAAATAAACTAAACTAGGCTTGCATGGACTATATATTGTTAGTTTTATAAAAAAATGCTCTTCATGCAATATTTTCACCTTAGATGAATGCTATAAATTGAGAAAAGCTGCAATAACAAAAGATCCCTATAAGATATTTGTGGTTGCAGAACGCACCCTTGTTTCTGTTCAGTTGTTTTTTGTGCTCCATAATTGACATCGTAGGAGGGGAGTCATCAATATTTCAACTTTAACGGCATTGAAGGCACCTCGATCTAATTCAAGATCACAAACCATAATTATCTCCAAGCCCAGCAACAAATGAAAATAAACATTAACACAAACAAATAAGAAAACCTGATATATTTGCCAACAATTAGAAAATTAAACTATAAGCAGTCTCACAACTATCTATGATAGAACAAATCCAAATTACTCTTAATCTATAGCTTTTGAATTACACAATAATGGGAAATTCCCAGACTGGGAAGCATGATTTAAATGTGAACAAGTATGTACATATAGTTATTACTTATTATAATAAGTATGTTATATAACATGAATTTAAATAAATAGCATGTTCTTGCATAATGACTGAAAGCAAATGATAGATAATGACCCGAGTCACAGAAATAATAAGCTAGCTTATGAGTTGAATTACTATATATGAAAGAATTAAATGATAATTTGTGGTTACCTGTATTAATTATTTCCTTTCATCTCTTTCCTGCCTAAGTATTGAATGTTGGTCATTAATCTTGAGCACGATGTTGATGCTTGGATCATCACCATATTTGGCTTCCTCTGCCAACCACAGGTCCACAGCTCTGGCTGAAACTTCACATTTCATATCATGCAAAGCAAATAAAACAAATGTAAAGTTCACTTCTGGTATATTTTTTTTCAATTCCCACACTTGTAAACCAGCATCAGAATAGAAAATTTCATTAAAGCAAGAGGTCCTACTCGGTGGGAAGATTGACATAAAGGATGTGAGCTATCTTTGTACCAATCAGAACCGAAAAACTTTTGGTAGCGCTCCTTCAAGCCTGCATGGCAGTAGAGTATTGCAGAGATTTCAAGGAGGGAGGGAGGGAGGTCTGGTAAATCGTTGAGCTGAGGAACCCTATAAATCTAAAGTTTTTGGAGAGAAGAGAGGCTAGGAAGGCAAGAAGGCATGCAATCCAGGTTCTCAAGAAGTTGTAGATATAATAATACACAAAGATTCCTAAACCTAAACTTCTATAGAAAACATTAAGAAAGCAGCCCAACCGAAAGAATAATTAAATCCTGCTTGTTGCAAAACAGCCCCTTAAGGCCTAATTCATGTATGAAAATAAACACAACAGAAGAGAGAGGCCATCCAGGAAAAGCCCTAGGGCCAAATGACCATCATAGCCCTCACTTAAAAATAAAATATAAACAACAACAAACAAAACGAATTTCTCAATAAGTACAAATTCATAAAGTTCCTCTTATCAGATTTTTCAAGTTCTTAATTGATAAAGCTTATATTCAAATCATTAAAGATATGTATTGTGTTCAAACACAAGGTGGTTTGACCAAGGATTTTTCTATTTCGGTTGGATTACATCAAGGATCAACCTTAAGCCCATATCTTTTTTGCTTTAGTCATGGATGTTCTCACTAGACATTTGCAAGAGGATGTAAGCTTATGATATTATTTTTATTGAAACTACGGAGGGAGTTGAAGGTAAACTTGAATTATGGAGGTCAACCTTAGAGTCTAAAGGTTTTCGCTCGAGTAGATCTAAAACTGAATACATGGAATGTAATTTTAGTAATAATAGCCCTAGTGAGGGGATTGTAACTTTGGGTGATCAAGACATTAACAAGAGTACATGTTCTAGATATCTTGGATCTACTGTTCAACGATGCGGCAATCAGGCCTCGATTTGATCCAACATTTGAGTAACAATGAGTCTCATAGGAAAAAAAAAAATCTAGCAGCCTCAATCCAAAACTTGAGTAAATGAGACCAATATGAACGTTAAGTTTGTAGAAAGAAGAAAGGCTAAAAAGGTAAGAACGCAGATAATCCATGTTTTCAACAAATGCTAGATATAGTACAGATTCTCAAAAAGTGCTATAAGAAGGCAAATATTGAAGACCTGACAACCATGTAAACATTTATCCTCAATTTCTTTAGATTGTTATGAAGTTTAAAATTCTCGAGCACCTCCAAAACTTGAGATCTACAATTTGCTTGAAATCTTCCCAAATCCAAACACTGCAAATTAATGTTAGTTTCATTTTCAAATATGTTAGAGCAGTGGTTTCTGCAAGTAAACCCATCTTTTTGTGGAGAAATTATGATAGGAAACACTTGGTTTTCCAAGTGTTTCTCACCAAAACCAAGTGGATCCAAGGGAAAACTGCTGTCCACAGCAGAAAAACTGCCAAAATACAAGAACTCTTGAGAGGAAAAACGTAGAAGAGCACGTAGGAAATGATGCAAACACTTTTATTTCGTTAATGGATGAAAAGCACTTGCAAGATACAACTTTCCTTCAATTCGAGAGGAAGGAAAAACTCTCCGACAATCTCTGGCAAAGCCAAGAGCCCAAGCACACCAAACCCTAGATCTCAAGATAATTCAAATTCAAGATAATCCTAATTCTCTCTTAACTCTCTAATTAAAGCAAAAGGAAAGATACAAATTACATAAACACCCTCTTCATTCAAAAATTCCCTCCAACTAAACGCTCGAAAGCTGCCTAGCCCGCTCCTTCGTCCGCTGTTTCTGCGATCGGCGGGTTCCGCCCGGCTTTGGACCGCCGGGCGTAGAACCGGACCGGTCCAGCTGGGACCGGTACAATGTTACGCGTAACAAATTATTAAATGCGGAATCCAGACATAGCTCGCATTTGGGCTCCAATGAAATGAAGCCACATAATTTGTAGACACCCTGCATACAACTTGTACACAGGGTGTGTATAAGTAGAATTTACACACCCTACATACACCTAGCAAATTAGACCATGAAGAAGAAACTAAAAAAACTAAGGAAAATCTCATCAGCAGGAAGATATGTGATGTTTAGAATGCAAATGACCTCTAATGTTCCAAGGAGAAATGATTTTGAAATGCTAAAACAGTAGCTAATGCCTTGTTACCTCTTTAATATCCAACTTCTGAAGATTAGGATGCAAAGAGGGCGGGCAACTCTTGCAACTCTTGGCAGTCTTTGAGGTAGAGTTTCAGTTAAGCAAGAAAATTACTATCGTTTGCTGCTGCTACTGCATGAAACCAATTCTTCAATGTTTCCAATTTCTTAATATGCAGCACCTCTAGTGATGTAAAAATACAACCATTGCCTTTCCCATGACTATCAAGGCTATCAAGAATATGGCAAGAGGCGTGGCCAGCCCAGCCGATAGAAGCAAAGGCACTCTCCCCGATTGCACACTGATCATAAGGGGAGGGCAGAGAAAGGACACAACGTGCAATCCAAGGGGTAGGGCAACAGGCTTGCAAAAAAAAAAAAAAAAA